CGGAATACGGATATATCAATGTAAAAACCGAGACCTGCATCTGTCTGTCGCTTTCCCTGCCTCTCCCTTTCTTCCCTTTCTCTGTCTCTCTGCCTCTCTTTCTCTTTCTGCTCTTTTTGGTAACATATCAAAAACAATTCCCGCTCATCAGCATCATCGTTGTCTCATGGCCAGAGGCCCTACAACCCCCCATTTTTTCGCACAAGGCCATAAATCAATGTTCGATTTTCAAAAAGGGAAATTCGCATTCGCAAAAAAAAGAGAGACAGGAAAAGCGGGAGACAGAGAGAGAGAGAGAGGTAGGGAGGGAAAGGCAGGCAAGGACACAGGACATTATGTTCGCGCCATGTTTTTAAAAAATTCTTCATTCTCCGTTTTTCATTTTTCCCTTTTTTTTTTTTGCACGCGCGTGTTGCATTTCCTCTCATGCGTTACACACTTTTATTTCTCCAATTGTTTTTGTTGTTGTTGTTGCTGTTGCAAATTCCATGCAGTTTTCTCTGTGGCTGTGGCGGTGGAAATGCATTACATTTTCAATGAAATGCTGGAAATGCGGGGCGCAGCCACCACCACGTGGTAGGGGAAGGGACGACACTCCCAGGTATGGGCCAAAGGAAAATTGTTGTGGTAAATTGAACAGATTTTAGAAATGCAACTGGAAAATATGTAGCTACGAACAGAGCGTAAGTCAATTGGAAAATTTAGTAAAAGAAGAAAATGAGGAAAATATTGCCAAAGCTTATATGAAATGAAGAAGAAAATGTTATTTTAGCATTGCTAATTAAATAAAGTTAAAATTAAAATGGAAAAATATAGAAGATGCAGCTAAAATATGGAACTTATCACCAACAAGAAAATGTTAGAAGAAATTTTAACAAAAAAATCGCAGAAATAAAGAAAATTGGAATGCTTAGCTTTCCTATAATTTTGTTAAGTTTCTGCACCAAATTTCCTCCAAAATTCCCAGCAAATTACCTATCAAAAGCTTTCCTATCTCTATGCTTCCCTATCCTCCTCCAAATCTTCTTCATTTCTTACTTTACATTCCCCACCATTTCACAATTTCCCCCCTTTACTTTAAAAACCGAAAAAACTCATAACTAAAACTAGTTTTTGCCGACGGCCAAACACGCGCTGGTAATTGCAGCCAATTGGCGCTCATTTCTCTGTCATAAATTTATTTTATTTTTTATTTTTTGCCAGCAAATTATCGACTTTTAAAGAGATGGGTAAGAGAGGGGGAAAGGTGGCAGGCAGAGTGGGTGGAATAAATCACCTTCACACTGAAAATGTCAGTAGAGCGGGCGAAAAACTGATTTTCCTAAAACCTAGACACTGAAGGGGGGTCGAGGGGAAAACGAGTGCACTCGGGAGTTAATAAATTACGTGTAAAACAATGTGTGAAATAACATAAATAATTTTCAGGCTCATCTGCCACACAAAACCCCCCCTGCAGCTCCCCCTCCCACCACTTCTAAACATTCCGTGTACCCACTTTTCCCTGTAGTTTTCCCGTGCTTTTTGCTGCACTCTGCTGCCTTTTCCTAGAGCTACAATCGATTAAGCCTAGATAAAAATCAATTTGCGGCAATAATAAATTGCTCAACTACCAGGAGGATCCCCATTGGATCCTCATTCCCCCATTGCTGCTGCTGCTGCTGCTCCACCAATTTAGCTTCATTTTGGGGGCAACCAGACAGAGGTCTCTTCTCTGGCCGAACAAATTGGCCCGCAAGGCCAGTACGAAGGCCAGAACGAAGGCTAAAATATGTACAAACATTGTAATCATGGGTTAAATATCGCCAAATCCAAAGCCACAGCCAGGGACCCAGCTGCTCCACGGAGATCCATCCACAGAAAAGTATCTTGAGAGGAGAATCTTCATTGAAGGCTTAATGGAAGGGGCAGAGAGGTGTTCCATAGAGTGAAGATCATGAAAGGAGAGAAGCCTCATGGTAGAGTAGCCTTTGGCAGAGGGGCTGAAAGGGGTTTCCTTCATGGAGAAGAGGGTTTCGTTGGTGAGGTTCTCCTCTGGCGTTGTAGGAGTTGCACTTGGAAGTGCACCTTCCATTGGATTAATCACCGCAGGCGCGCGCAGAGTAGAGATGCGACTCCAAAGACTTTACTTCACCTTCGACTGTTTGCAGACTCGCAGCTCCACGCGCACTCGCACTCGCACTCCGCTCTTTGCCACCTTGCCACATCGAAGATCACGATTCACAACTTAATCCCAAAAAACTTGTAGCCGGTTCTCAGCTGCATGCAACATAAGTATTCAACATCCCATCTCCCCATCTGTTGTAGGTGCAGCAGCATCGTTTGTCCATTTGCTTGGCTGCGTTTCTCTGTTTCTCGGTTCACATTTTTATTTAACGTCTGCCCTGCCCTGCCCTGCCCTGCCCTGCCCGGCCGCCTTCTCTTTTTTAGTTTTTTTAGTTTTTACATTTGTTGCAGCAGCCACGCCTCCCATTTGCTGGTTTTGTCTGATTCATCGATGATGATTCCGCAGCAGCAACAAAATGAATTCATTTGTGTGCCACAAAAAAAGAGCCAAAGGCTAGCCATGCTTGGGATGGGTTGGGAGGGCGGTGGGGGGATTGGCTGGGGGTTCATGCGGTTTGGATTTCGATTCTAATTGAAGTGTTTGTCTAGACCCTGAAGCGGTGAATGTTGCAAGTGATTAGCAAATGAAGGAAACAAGGAAGAGGGGGAGACGCAGGAAGAATGGAGTCTGAGAGATAGAATGGGAGATGGTAAAGGGGAGTACGACTGATGGGAAAAATTAAAAAACGGAGAGGATTAAGCGTGATCTCTGAAAGAGAGAGGCTCTGGAGATTCTGTGAAAGAAAAGGATTTCCAGTATTTCTAGTATTTCTATTTTGTTGTAAAATTTTGTTGAATGATTGCAGTTAAATAAAATTCATTTAACTGCAGAATGTAGACTTAAAAAAAAGGTCATCCCAAGCTTCACTTTCCTCTACTTTTCTTCTACTTTTAGGGGGGTTAACCCGTATTCCTATCCATATTCGCTCTATTATTTTTTTTCAAAATTTCATTCCACATTTAATTTAGAAAACACTTTAAATAAATGCCCATTTTTTAAAGACCATTTCCAACATTCAATGAAACGGCAGTCAGAAAAAACACAAAAAAAGAGAATGAAAGAGAAAAAAAACACGACATGCACTTTTATCAGAGGGTAATAATTCATTACACACTTTTCCTCATCGGCACGAGGAGGGTGCAAAATACACGCTCCCTCCCCACTGAAACATTCCCCTTCTTCCCGTTCTTGAAGCGTCAGCGGGCATCGGATGTGCTGCATTTACCGCAATCGACGTACTCTCTCCCTTTCTCTTCCTCTCTCTCCTTGGATGAGCCAAAACGGGATTGAAAATGGAATGGAAGACGGGGAACGGAGCTGCATATAAAGGGGGTGGGGGGTGGTTTGATATATGTATGGGCAGGTAGGCGATAAAAACGGGATCGGTCAGTGGTCAACATAGGCAAGAAATGGAACAAAGTGGAACAAGGGAAGATACAGAGGGAAGAGAGCTTTTGCGTAGAGTATTTTACTCCGAAATGGAGGTAAATGTTACCATACGGTTTTACCCCTAAGGGAATAACAGGTAAATGTCTCTTTTGATAAGACAAGGATTTTCACACCCACAATACGCACCCTAGAAATACTTGTAATTAAGAAAAAGGGAAAACAGGAAATGTCCTTTGGATAAGCCACTCAATTAACTAATTGTCCTTAAAAATAATATGCATTAGAAGCAAAATCCTACCACTCCCCCCATCTAAGAGAAAAAAAGGTCGAACCCATTTGATGGATAAGATTTCAGTTAAAAAAAATTACACCCAAAAAGGGGAGCATAAATCAATGTAAATGTCAGGCGTCGTCAATGGCGTCAATAGGAAGACACAGCAGTGGGAAAGAGATGACAGTGGCAGAGTACCAAAGAGAGAAAGAGAGAGAGAGAAAGAGATAGAGAGAGATGATGTTAGAAAACAACCACCAAAAAAATAGCCCCAGTAATTATTTTAATCCAGGTGCCACGCCTCCCACGAACTATACAAATTCATCCCAAGTAATTCCTCTTCGGATTCCCGATTTGCTGAAAGATAATTCCATTATGAGGGAAATTTAATCATAGTTTTTGCGGCAGCATGAAGATGTCTGCAGATTGTTGGCAAGTGTCAAAGGAATAAGGACAGAGATACATATTCCACAGCAACATATCCTTATATGCACATGTGTGTGACTTGGCTTCCTTTAACAGGATATTACATGGCTGCTTGTGGGGAAATTATATCTTCCAAACGATGCCTCTTAGCACTGCCACATCAGACTCTCCACGACAGACTTTTCCTTGTGGGGCAGACACTTTTCCTTGCGAGATAAAGAGGGGAGGGAAAGGAAAGTCAAAGGTCATCCCCAGAGAGGGCATCCATTGTTGGCGCCACTAAAATACATGTTGCACTTAATTGGAATGATTTCTCGTCTGTGAAATATGATTTCCACAGTTATTTAGAGAAGGCAGATTGAGGCAACATTTTCTGTCTTTTCTTAAGGGGAAAATTTTTACATTTTTGGGGCTTGAAATATTCGAATTTTAATTGGGAGAATTATAGAGAAATTATGGAACAAAGGGGAGCCAATATGGAAAGTGATAGTGTGGGATATTTACAAGGGGAAGTGCCTAGGGGAATATATAGGAAAATATATGTAAAATATAGCAATTGTAGACCTTTCATTTAAGGAAAGTCTCCCATAGATTTCCATTGATTTTCCAAACTATTCCCAAATCAACTCTAACAATATCTATGCTCAAATCTCTGCCTAAGCCCCATTTTAAGCCAGCATTTAACCCACTTTTCAATCCTCTTCTACCATGATTTCCCTGTCCCATTACAAATATGAGAATCTCTCTTAGTTATGCATCTAACAAATTGAACTAATTTCCTCTCTATGCTCACCTCTTGTGTCATTGCAGGTAAACACGCAAACAGACATTTTCCACAGCCACAGAGCCACACAGCCACAGAGGAGGAGGCGACATACAGGCCAGAGGAGCAGAACGAGACACCTGTGTGATGGCATCTCCTCGCTCTGTCTCTGTGCATGCCACAAGAAGAGGTAGGAGGTAGGAGAATGCATAGGAGGCGTGTGGTGGGGATGGATACATTTCAAATACCTTAAATGCAGGCAGCAGGCATTCCACTCGAAGCTGTGGCTATATCTGATTTCTGTCAACATTAAAATTGCAGCAGAATCGTAGCTGAGAGCTAACTTAAGTAACCCCCAAAAGATAGAGTGACAGCAGCAGCACAGACGAGGCGGACGAGCGATGGTGCGACGGCACACAGGGATCGGGGCACATGAGGGATAAGGTTTGTCCGCCAATTGCACGTGTATTTCCAGGCGATAAAACGCAGCAAAGTTCTCCTTAGCAGAGGGACTCAAAGGAAGAGTCAGAGCCACATTTATGGTCAGAGTCAGAGCCAGTCCTGCCACAGTCAGAGTCTGTCCTGCCACAGCCATCGTCCATTGAGTGGCAACACAGATTATAAATTGAAATTGAGTTCATAAAACACGAATCAGCAAAACGTTTAACATCTTTATTTTCCCTCTGCTGCTGGTGCTGCAGCAAAAGAAATGCCCAGACACAGAGCCACAAAACGAAACGTTGCAATCTCGCATTGGCAATGTGGCAGCCACAGATGGAGTCCCAGTCGAAGGTGCAACTTCTCTGCTTCTCTTCTTCGAATGCAATCAAACAGCAAGAAATGTCGATGCTTCGAACTAGCAGCAGGCAGGCATGAGAGGCAGGCAGGCAGCAGTCAGCAGAGCAGCCTCAAAAGCATCTTCCAGGGCATGCTGCCAAAAGGAACTCCGTCTGGCATTGGCATTGGTTCTCTGTGGCACTGTGGCACAGGGGGGAGGAACCAACAAATAGACAGACAGATGTACGGTGTGCAAGCGAGTGCCTTTACCATGGGATAAAATGAAGAAAATGTATGGGAAAAATTTGTCTAAAAGAAGAAAGGGGAATCCTTGAGGCATTTTTGAGTGCAAATTTTAGCAATTTTTGGCTACAGAAATTAAGTTTTCTTTGTGTTTTCATAATTCAATATTTATAGGAGCCACGCGTAATGCAGTAACTTTCATCGGTGGCCTCACTGTTCCTTCCCACAGTTCCTTTGCCTTTTTTTGGGCTGCACTGTGATGCCTGCACATCTTGAATGCGCCCCGTCGGAATGTTGCACGCGTTGAATTTCTTGTAGACGTGCGATAAAAATTTGCGACATTGCAAACAGTTTTTTGCGGTACGAAGGTGATGCCACAGTGCCCCATCCTTGTGGCTGGGAGGATGCCAGAGCCCAGCTCTTAGCAGGGCACAAAGCAGATGACATTGCCCCGATACCTGGCCGCCTAATCTGCGTGAATAAAAATGTAAATGAATTGAAGATTGTGCCGCCACAGCAGCAGCATTATGAGCTATGGAGGAGGCCATGGATTGGAGGCTCCAATTGGCATACAGGGGGAGAGGAAGGAGAAGGCACTGGACAGGGTACAGGTGGATGAGGCAGGAGGACGGCGGCTGTACAAAACGTAGACACGAGTGACAAGTGGAGCGATTAGGTGTGGATCATGGGGCATACATGGGGCATGGCTCCTCTTGCAGCCTCTGCATCTGCATCTCTGTATATCTCTTTCGTTTTTTAATAAGCAACGACAGGCAGGTGCCCCAAGTGCAACCCCGTGGCAGAAGAGGAGAGCCTCCTCTTAACACAAATGTTGATTGAACCTTTTGGTCCGGGAGTCCCCCCTCCCCCCATCCAACCATGAGGAAAACCAGTCCACACGTAGCGACAATATCCATCCACAGACGAACTAACGGGTACGCTGTTTGAGAGCAGAGCTCTCTGCTGCGCTGGTTGCATGGTGGATCTACGTCGAGTGGAGTGGTTGGTGGCACAAACATGTTTTCACTTTGCAGACCCCAAAAAAGAAAAAATAACAGAGACCAAAAGAAGGAAACACCATATGCGGGGCAGCAACAGAAACAGCAGACAGAAACTGGAACAGAGGTGTAGACAGGAAAGGGGGAAGATGATACTCGTACGTTTATGTTCGAAAACTAACAAATTTATTTATTTATTTAAAATGAATATTAATTATCTGCTCAAAAAATTATTTATCTTACAATTTTATTTTTCTTTACTTTCTAAATTTTTTTTTGCAATTTAAAATTTGATTTTTATTAGTTTTTATATTTTTAAATTTTACTTTAATATATTTTAAATTTTATTTAATATATTTTAAATTTTATTTATATTAATTTTGTTTATTCTATTGATATATTTTAATTATTCACCCTGTGCCGCACTACGCCCTTGTTTTGGGAGCCATCGTCTAAGTCCATGGACATGGCTGGGGTGGCTGGTGTGTTCCTTGATGTATTTTTTGTACGTTTTCTTCGTGGCTAAAGTGTTTGTCGATAAACCAAAAGAGCGAAGGTGATGTTCAAGGAAGCAGTTTGTGGGGCGGGGGGAGCAAACGATTGACCAAAGACCGCATACTGTAATAAAAATTAAATCGCAAGAAAAATAACAAATAAAAGCGTGCGAAATGAAGACGAAAACGGGGGAAATATCGGAGTCACGAACATTGAAATATGGTGCCACAGAGCCACTGAGTCACAGAGAGGGAGAAAGAGTGAGAGAGAGAGAAGGGAGGAGAAAGAGCCATCCGTGTTGATGAGGATGTGGATGTTGGAGGACATGGACATTCGACTGATAAATGCGTGGAAAATGCAACAGCTGCCAGAAGTGGATAAGAAGCAGGAGGCAGCAGAGGCACCACACCATGAGGCATGAGGCAGAAAAGCAGGAGGTACCACCAGCAGGCAGCAGGTCAAGGAAAAGCAAGAGAAGAAGAAAATCAAGCGAAAAAAAAATACAGGAGAAGCAAAGGAAAATCCACAAGGAGAGAGCGCAGTGGCAGTGCCTTGTGTGTTGGTAAACAAATCATTTGAAAGGATTTTTACACACAATCCATCTTCGCAGGACTCGCACTGAGTGATCTCTCTCTTTCTCTCTTTGTCTCTCGCTGCATCTTACTCTTTTCCACTGCCTTTTGAGCCACAGGACAACAGCAACCTGTTTCTACCAAAAGGATGCTGCACAAAAGGATCAACAACAGGCGAAAGTCGCCCCGACGGAGTCCTGAGACAAATGGACTCCTGCTGCAAAAAAAGAGAAAGTTTTCTGCTTTGTTTTTCTGTACGAATTTTGAAGCAGCAATTTTGAATAGGCAAAACATTTCGATCCTCACGGCGAGGAAGAATGAAACAAGGACAATATCCTTATGCAATGCACACGGATCGCATCGGATCCTCTTTCTTTAGTTCCACTTTCAAGCAGCGCATAAAAACAAGGCCAAAACGAAGGACATTTCGGTAACATTCGATGTATCTTGGACTGACTTTTGTTCTTCTGTAATCTTATGCAATGCCAAAGGTCGAAGGTCAATGGAAAGTGCAAGCGATTTCCATACCCTAGATTTATGAGCCTTAATCCTCACAGAGTGGCCAGGGCGCACATTCTCCTAGCAAGAGGCGTAGCACGTAGGCATATAGTTATTTGTGTGTGTGTTTGTGTGCGGTCGCTAAACTGTTGCAAGGTCAATGCTTCATGATGGTCATTAGCATTAAACGCCTTATACTTATGGTAATTAGGTTAATGATCATCTTTATGACTTCTTAAAGTATCTTTTGCCTTTTTTTTGTTTGGGTGAGAATTTTTGGCAATTTGTTATGCAAATTATAATTTTTCCTTCCTTCTTTTCGATCATTTGTTGTACATATGGCTGTAGTTTTTCTTTATGCATATTTTTGGGGTTTTCTTTTTTGGGAAATATGTATGGAAATATGTGGTTTCTTTGGGCTGGACAATGTGGTTTCTTTGAGTACATAAAATGTGTGTTTTTGTGGTTGGAAAATGTGCATGAATTTTGCATATAAAACAAGACGGAAATTGAAATATTTTCAGTGAATTTTCAACAATTTTGTATTAATAATTTCGTTGTATTTTCTTGTTTTTTAATCACTGAAGAAATTTTATTATTTAACTTGAAAATTACTTTCGTTTAGAGTGTCTGTTTGTCAATCGCCTATCTATCTTTCATATCTCATATTTCTGACTCCACTAAACCCGAAAAAATCCAACAATAAATCCATAAAATACCAAAAATATGCACAAATTAATGCCCATTGATTGACAATCTATCATTCATTCAAATCTCTAGCAAAAACCCAAACAAACAGCCCTCTCCGGCTGAACGAATGTCAACGCCAATTTTCACAAAATGCAAAACCCGAAATGTCAGATACAAATAGAGGGTGGTCGGGAGGGGACATGAAGGAGAGCAATATGGTGGGACGGGGGGACTCTGGAAGGATGGAGGCAGGCAGTCAGTTGCAGTTATAATTCATGTTGGCCAAATGCCAAATTCAATTATTTAATCAATAATATTAATTTCTCGTTCTCCCACTCGTATCATATTTTGTCAGTGGCAATAAATGCGGAAATTTGTAAAACAGAAAACGACAGGACAGACATTTCACTCATGCACCAACCGCACATGAAAATGCACATGCAACACCCACACACAGACACACACAAACAGAAGTTGCATTTGTGTTCACACATTGTCCTTGTAACGTGTGGCATCCTCTGTGGCAGCCACAATACCTCTCTCTCTCTCTCTCTCTCTCTCTCCCTCTATGTGGCATTGCATTTCACATTTCATTTGCATTTTGTGCAGCGGCTGCAATTTCATTTGTCATTTGGACATTGGCGTCCCTCTGGTCGTTGCAGGACATTCCAACAGGACATTTCCAGCCATTGAAATTAGCCACTTAAATATGCTGCCCCCCCACAGCCATGTCCCACAACAACCTTCCCTCTCTCTGTCTTCATTCATTAGCAACAATTACTCCAAACGGATGAATGCTTTTTGACTGTTATTCTGATATTAAATTCACGATTAAAACTTTCACTTTAATGAGCGGAAAATCAAGTGGAGTAAAATGTGAGGTTCAGTTCAGTTGGGAAAATAGGTGCAATAGGG